TGGACAATTTATAGTTACCAAAATTTGTCATTTCCTAGGCTGAGTTTGCTGCTATTGTAATTGCAAACTGTACAACTTTAGCCATGGTGACATAGTTGTTCTTATTGTAGTTGTTCTCCCCAGTATATTAAGACTGAGACTGCCTAAGTGTGTTAAAAATATTATAGGGCATTGCCTAAGAACTGAGGGCTGGGACAAGTTGGCAGAAAGTTCTCATCCCCAATAAATAGAAGAGGTAGGATCTTGAAACAGAATCGAAGCCCAAAAGCTAGCTACACTTAAAAGACATCTCTAAGAAGTAGTCATTTTCTAAGTGTTCTTAATATTTCCAATAAACCTACTCACTGTAAGCAATCTGCAAGCATCAAACCAGGAGTTAAACTTAAAAAATAAATAGAAAATGAAAAAAGCATTTAAACAAGATGTAACCTCTCAGACTTTTAGCTCCCCCAAGGCAAACTCAGGGGTAATGACGTGGAACAATCCAAAAGGCACCAGGCTAGACTCTCTGAAATACTAACAGCAGAAATAAAAAAGCAAGTGAATGAGGCTTTTGGTAAAAATAAAAGCAGAAATAATTTTAAGATGGTTCAAGAAATAGTGACCAGAATCAAAGATGTGCTTAGTGATGCTAGAGTAGAGATTTTTAAAAATACAAGTGCTCAGAAAAATTATGGGAACCAGGAATGCCCAGCAAAGTAGAACAATGAAATCTATAAAACAGACGAAAAAATATCCAGGAGATCTAAAAATTAAATTGAAAATATACACTTACATTAAACAAAGACAAGGACAGAATTTCTGATCTAGAAGACAGGACTGCAGATAGAGATCAAAGAAAGAAAGATTTTTAAAAATTAAGGGACCATGAGAAATCAGTGAGGAAATTACTAGATAATGCAAAGCATAATAACATAAGATTGATTGGATACAATGCAAAAGGAGGAAATAGCGCAAATAATATTAAAAACCCGTTCACAGAAGTGATGGCTGAAAAAATTCAGAAACAGCAAAAATGAAACTGATATACAACAGATAAGGGAGGAATATAGAACACCAATTAGCCATGATAAATAAATCTCAGACAAAGCATATAACAGTCATGATTCTAGAAATTCCACACATGAATAGAATATTAAAAGCTGTCAAGGAAAAGAGAATCGCCTACAAAGAAAGTCCATCAGAATCACAGCAGACTTTTCTCCACAAACTCTCAAGTCAAGGAGAGCTTTAGTGAAGTATTTCAAGGAAATATTCAAGGCAAACAACCTCCAACCCACCACCATATACCCCAAAATACTTTCAAAATTGATAAAAATATGATAATTCCATGAAAAGAACACATGAGGAAATTCATGAACACAAAACCAGTACTGAAAAGGGCTCTGGATATTCTAGAAAGATGTAACAAGGATTACAACCTCATAAACCCAGCAGAATGAATCCATCAGATAAAGCAAAAAACTAAGCAGAGAAGGAACAAAGGGAGCCAAAACAGGACAATATCGGGGCTGGGGATTTATCTCAGTGGTTCTGCCGCTGCCTCACAGGTGCAAAGACCTGAGTTCAATCCTTGGTACAAAAAAAGTTAAAAAAACAAGGCAGTATCATGACAAGGATACATCTATACCTATCAATTATAAACACTGATATTACAAAGAAGAACAACATAGGATAAATCAGAGTCAATGAAAAACACATAAAAGGCCTGTTCAAAGAAGTAGTGGCAGAAAACTTCCCAAACAAAAAAAGAATTGGACATACAGATGAGCGAGGCATACAAAACTCCAATCAGATTGATGAAAATAAATCCACAACAAGGCATATATTAATAAAGACCCAATTAATTCAGAATGGGAACAAAATATTCAAATCTTTTTAGAGAAAATAAACAAATCACCTCTAAAGAAAGCCCATCAGAATCAAAGCAGACTTCTCAACACAACCCTGTAAGGCAAGGAGAGCCTGGACTGAAGTATTTTAAGTCTTGAAAGAAAACAACATCCAATGCAGACTGATGCACCCTGGAAAACTATCTTCCAGAATTAATGGAGAAAGATACTCCTACAAAAAGAATTGATGAAATTCATGATCACTACACAACCCCTACACAGTGTTCGGCAGGACCTTTCAGAAAGATATCATGAACATCACAGATCTAAGAGGACCAATAGACAGAAAAGGTGAGCAATTAAACAGTGAGGAAAGACAGAGATCAATAACAGTAAAACAATATGAAAACGATAAGACAATACATATCAGGAATAACCATCAATGTAAATGGTTTCTGTTCATCAATCAAAACAAAAACACTGGCAGGATGGATCAAGAAACAAGATTCAACAATTTGCTACACACGAGAAGCACATTTAACTCAAATGAAATTTGTAGACTGAAAGTCAAAGGACGAAAACAGCAATTCATGCCACAAGATCCTAGTAAAAAGCAGAGGTAGCTGTTCCATTTGTAAACAAAGTAAACTTCAAGCCAAGACTGATCAAAAGTGATACAGAAGGACTCAATCCTTGCTGAGAGAGAATTCCAAGGAGTAGCAATAGCATTCATAAATATATGTGCACCAAATACTGGTGCAGCCAACCTTATAAAACAAATGTTAAAGACATGAAAAATCAAATAAACATTAACACACTTCTAATGGGGTACCTCAATACTCCACTGTCACAAGTAAATTAATCAACTACACAAAAAATTCAAAAAAGAAATATCAAAACTGTACTAAAGCTAAGAACAAGTGGACTCAGTTGCTGTTTACAGAGTGTTCCACCCAACATCAGAATACACAATCTTCTCAGAAGCACATGGGACATTCTTCAAAATATACCCCATGTGGTCTCATAGAACTTACTTAAATAAATGCAAATGGATTGAAATTATCCTGTGCATGTTAGCAAACAACAGTGCAATGAAATTGGAAATCACAGGTGAGAGAAAACACAAATTTTCATAATCTCATGGAAATTAGATGGCTTCTACAATTAAATGATAATATTGATGTGACACATAAGAACTTATGGGATGCAATGAAAGCTTTCACATGAGGGAAATTTTTAGTGGTAAATGCTCAGATTGGGAAAACAGAATGAGCTCAAATAAACAACCTAATGTTGAAACTAACACTTCTAGAAGAAGCCAAGCCCAAAACTCATATGAGGGAGGAAGTTCTAAATATTTCAGCAGAAATTAATACAACTAGGACTAAGAAAACAATACAAGATTCAATGAAAGAAGAATTTGGTTCTTTGAAAGATTAATTAAAGTTAACCAAGCCCTAGCCAAACATCCAGAAAAAGCAAATAAGACTCAAATCTGTGAAATTAGAAATGAAAAGGCTGACATAAAGAATGAGAAATTAGAATCACTTATAGGAAAATGGATACATATTGAGGATACACTCCTAAGTGAAATAAGTAAAGCACATATGTGTAAATACCGAATAGTTTCTCTGGTGTGAAAAAGTATAATGGTACATAAGATCCTAATGATAAAACTGACAAAGTGAAATATGAAGAAAAGAGCTAAATGTGTAGGGGAAATGGGAAGGGTAGGGGAAAGGTAATAAGGGAAAAGGAAAAAAAAACATGAGAAAATGCAAAATGGAAATAAAATATTTGTAAATAGGGAAGGGAGGAGAGGGTGAAGGCCAGGCAGGGATAAGGGGAAAAACTGAGAACCAAGACCTGTCATGTAAAGGGACACGATCCCAACAATGAATGGAACTGTACTGTATACCTAAAAGGAACCAATAAATCTAATTAAAAAAAACAAGAAATGAAAAGGCTGAAATTGCAATGGATCCTGCAGAAAGCCAGATTATCAATACCCATTTTGAGAACCTTTATCCTAATAAAGAAAACAGAAAAAATTGACAGATTCCTAGACACACATGAATTACAAAAGTTGAATAAAAATGTACAAAAACTCTAATGAAACCAACAATAGTCAATGAAATCAAAGAGGTAATTAAACACCCACCAACAAAAAAAGCCCAGGTCCTGATGGTTCCACTGATGAATTCTACAAGAAATTTAGAGAAAATCTCAGGCCACTTTTCAGAATTTTTAGAGATATGTAAATTAAACCAATCTAAAATTGCATCTTAGTCCAGAAAGAAGGGCCATCATCAGGAAATCCAATAATAACAAATACTTATAAAGCTGTGGCATAAGAGGAACCCTCCTGTCTTGTTGATAGGCAGACAAACTAGTACCACCATTACGGAAATCAGAAAGGAGATTTCTCCAAGAACTGAAAATAGAAATTCTATGTGACCAGCTATTTCTCCACTAAGTATCTTCCCAAAGAGCTTAAGTCACCACACTACAGCCAAACCTGCATACCAGTGCTTACAGCAGCACATTTCATAGTCACTAACTCCTGCAATTAACATCATCAGATGATTGGGTAATCAAAGTGTGGCATCTGTATGTAATGCAATACTACTCTGCTACGCAGAATGACAAATTTGAGACATTCGTAGAAAAACGGATGCACGTGGAAAATATAATGTTGATAAAATAAATCAGACACATGAGTGTAAATATCCTATGGTATTTCTCATTTGAGTGAGACGAAGTACCAAGGAAATGATCAATGATGGACAGACAGGGACAACAGGAAAATGGGCCAAGGGAACAGGACTGAGAGGTGAGGAGGACGGCGAGCTGAAGTGAGAGGAGCAGAGATATACCGTAGGCAGGATCCTAGTAATTCAAGTGGAAATGTTGTATTACACAACATGAGCTAAAACAAGTGATATCAAGTATGAAAAAGGGGACACAGGAGCCACAGTAGCAGTGGAGAGAGGAGGGAAGGGAAGTGGGATTAGAACAAACCAAGCAGTAATACACACATGTAACCACTCCACAGGGTGATTGTAAACTGCACGAATTGCAAAATATACAAATAAAAAATGAACCAAAATATTAAAAAATAAAATTAAGCAAAAAAACATAAAGAAGCTCTATCATGCTAAAACTTACGTCGTGTTCAAATAAAACAGAACTGAGTCACAGCCAGGGTGGGTGAAGGGCAGGCACAGAAGGTCACACTGTTCAGCAGCTGCATGGCACAGAGGCTGCGCCTGTCGCTTCAGAAACAATAACCAGCCACGAGGAGGCCGCGATCTCCCAGAGACTTGGAATGGAGAGACTGAGGGACCTGTGCATATGGAGCCTTGCTAACAAAACAGACTATGAGAATGTATTTTTCTATTTGCACTACAATCGCTCACTATTGTCCTGCACTTCCTAAATCACAAAAGAAATATGCAGTAAAACAGGAGAAAAGAAGTAATTGAAAGGAGGTGCAGGCATTAGTATTTCATAAAGGATCAGACTGTGCACGTCAGAAGTCAAAGAAAAATCCAGATGAGAACCCATCACCAAATCAAACTAAGTAAATGTATAATTGTCAAAGGTTTCCCTATATAAGATCAGTAACAGCAAGCATTATGGGGACTATGCTGGCACTGTAACTATAGACAAGAGAATTTGTACTGTAGCCTTCAGCCAAAACAAAAACAATCTATCAAGAAAGTCAAAGCATTAAAAGAATATTGTATAGATATTAATATTTATCAAAAAGTTGTATTAAAGATCATACCACACTGATTCAAGTTGAAAATTGAAAAAGCAGATCATTTATGGTAATGACAGAAATTATAGGTTTTGAATCATGAGAAATATTTGAGGTTATTCAAAATAATTCATTGTAAAAAAGAGAATGGTACTTTAGAAAAAATAATTCACCACTAAATATATACAATTTATACAGCCTTGGTTGACAATGGATGATATAAATGCATCAGGAGCAAGAATCGAAAACAGAATTTCTGTGTATATTTACTTCTATTTACATTTACAAATGTGTAAATGTATATTCTTTGTCAAATTGCTTTATTAAAGATGAAATAAAGTCTTGTGAGAGAAAATTGATTTAATATGCTCATATTCAACACAAAATAAATCCCAAAGCCTTTAGCTTCTGAAAAACATAAAAGTTCAAGAATTTACACCTAAGTATTTTCAAACTTGTAGGTTATATTGCATGATTAAAAGGAGGAAGCAAAAAGACAAAATTGATAATTTTCACTGCTGGAAAGCTAAGGTCTAGTTCCCCTTAAATAAATTGTAGGCAAAAATTTTAATGCAAGCAATAATCTAGTGAAACACTTTAAACATACTTTGCAGTCATAATATTTCTTCTCCTGAATACATAAAATATCACTGAAAAAAACCTATGGTAAGTTTTAAAAAGTGGTACAAGAAATGCATGAAATCACCTTCTTAAGACACTAACTGAAGACAGAATCTAAACTTTACTATAAATATATTAATGAGAAACATTTGCACACATCATTCAGGCCATTTTCCATCTAAAGGCAACGCTACCCTTGTGTGTGGCTTGTTCAGTTGTTTTTCATTTTGTTTCTGGGGGTTCTGTGATAATACACAATAATGCTTTAAAATATAAATAAATTTGATCCAGCCATTTAGTTTTTTATTATGGCTTTAAATTGAGAGCATATTTCTAGGTACTACAATCTAGTCTGCATCAACCAGCTATCATTTTAAAAATAATTTTTACTCCTATTTGTGGAAAGACAAAAGTAGAAACCAGTTAGAAAATTTGAAGTATCCAAGAATTACTGAAAGCAAAATTCTTAGACTGCAAACATGTAATTTTATATAGACATAAAATTTTCAAGATGATACTGACATGAATACAAACACGTTTTGTTTGTAAAATTATGTTAAAGCAAGACAGAGATATAATAGCACTGCTATTAATAAAGTATTGAGAGTTATGTGTAGAGATATCCAGGACATTATGAAAACCACATTATAATTATGGTAGTCATTACACTTATGCATAGGAAGATCACATCTCCATTTAAAAATATTACATTTATATTTTGTAAGATAATTTTGCCATAAAGAAAAACATATTATCTTTATATATATGCCAGTTTTCATAAAGTTCTTTTCTTTTTCCTTCTGACTTCAGAAGTAATATAAACATCCCCATGATATTGTAAAGTTGCTTTCCAAGTGGATCATCAGCCTGGGCATAAAGGCTTCTGGGAATAGCAAGGATGCTCTTTTCAGGTACAGACAGGTTTACAACACTTGCTTGTGGGAAAGCCCACCTGCCATAGCAGAGCAGCTATCTGAACAGAGGGAGTGGGCAGCAGAGGGCAAGCAGAAGAGCAGGCGGCCTCTCCTCTCCTCTGAGGAAGAAACCAAACTCTCCCTCCAGCACCCTTGGAATACCCTTTAAATTAGACCTCAGTTGAAAATCACCAACACCTCATTCTCCACTCTTCCCAGATATTCTCTGGCACATGGGGCTTCCTCCAGTTAGAATCCTGTTAGGAAAGTGTACCCAGAATCCTCCAGGACCCCTGTTGTCCCCTGGAAATGTATTCTTCAGTGACCTCTATCCTGCACTTGACCTGCAAACACCTTAGCCTGTGCAGAATTCCTAGTCCATGCTGATGCCGCCTCGTCATTACAGGGGTCCCTGTGCTTATCATTATCAACGCGTGCCAGGAGAGACATTTAGCACATTGCAGGGGATTCAGAGCACATCTCCCTGACATTGCTCATTCAAAGTCTCTGCAGATCTGCCTGCTAGCTTAGAAGCAATAATCAGCAGCAACCATCAAAATCAAAGTGTGCACATTACAAAAATAACAACATCAAACACCTCTGGACGATGTGGGGAGATAAATGTCCAGCGGAAGTGACACTGCCTGCCGAGGTTGCAGTTCACATCTGATGAGGAGGATCAGGCCTCATGGTTGCTTGAGCACAGTACTTTGCTGCCAACCTGCACAATGCAATGAGACCTGGTCACAAAAACACAAATATCAGAAAGTTATCTAGGAACAGAAGTGACAGCATGAGAATGGATAAGAGAGAAGAAGAAAGGATGCAGAGACCACCGTCACGGAGATGCCACAAACCCTAACTCCACCTGGCCTGCTTCTGAAAGTGGGCAAACAGCACAGTTCAGTCGTCAGCAGTCATTGTTTCAGTGACATCCCCTTTCTTCACAGGATCATAGATCATACAATATCCTGACACTTTAAAAACTCTATTTATTAGTCATATTTTTAGCAACAGGCCTTTTGTCCCAGGGATTGAACTCAGAACCTTGCACTTACAAGCAGGTGAGACACCACCGAGCTAAATCCCCAGCCCTGAAGGCCTAATGTGATAGCAATTAGAAGCAGTCTGTGCATGAGAATCAGACTCCCACTGGAACACAAAACCTCACACAACATGGACCACTTATTCCCGTCCCGGCTGCAGCTCCAGGGGATGTGGATCACCCCTGGCATGAAAGCCTGATGCACAGAGTCTTCGGAAGTGCAAGTGAGTATCTGTGGGGGGAGGCAGCTGGTGCAGGCGGGACATAAACACGAGTGAGGACGTGAGGCGTTGTAGGCCTGGTTAAAGGAGACGTCATTGGACCCCGGCCTTTATGAAATGGGCCTTTGACTTCAGCCGCGTAGTATTAAACCGAATCCCATGGTTAGGTTGGTTTTCTAGTCGGCATCACCTTGCACTGTGGAGTGGCAGCTCAGGTATGAGGAGGTGCGTGTGTAATATAGTAAGGGGGAAGGTGATGTCGTCCTCTTTACAGAAGTGAAAGATGGAGAGAGAAATAAACATGGTTCTATTGAGCTGCAGGTGGGATAGGGATCAGAGGACATTTTCCCCTCCAACACTCACACACACACCCTAGGAATTGTCCACCCTGAGAATAAAGCAGGAAATGAATAAATGAAAATGTCACTTACTGCATGACAATGAAGTTCTTGGAAGGTTCTAAATGAGTCCTGCCAGAGAGGTACACAGAGAGGAAAAGGGAGAAGAAGCCCCCAATCACCACATCTCCATCCTTGCGCACACTAATCGTCCTGGAAAAAAGGCAGTCTTCGGTACCTGAATAGGACACCAGGAGAGGAAGCTGCACGAGGAAGATGAGAATCAAAGGGGTCATCCTAGAAGTGCACGCCCAGGGCTAAGTCTGGATGAAGGCAGCACCGGCACTGCCAGCCAGGTGAACGCATCTATGGGATGAATGTCTACATGTCCTGTGACTTTGGCTAAGGTAGATGCTTTAATGACCCTGACTTTTTTTCAGCCAAGCCTCCCCCATGCCCTCAAAGAATTTTTCAACTTTTCCCCTGCAGCTCTGCATCTGAGGTCTAGTGTCCAGGTGAAAAACACAAGTTTAAAATTATAATTATGTATAAGCTTGTCCCCCTTAGGCACCCTTACTTCATCCGAGTCCTTGGGTAGGCAGATCCCATGGGGCACCTTCTCTTGGGCCAAAGTTCTGCCAAGTCAGTGTCAATGGGCCACTTGCGTGGGTGTCACGTGGGAAGTGCAAATCGCTTGCAACAGAGGACTGAGCATTAGGTGTTGCATGGTCTGGAGAGATCCATGCTCAGTCAGATATGGTTAGGAATTACACCATCCACAGGTCAGAACAGGGAGTTCTGCCCAACTACTTACAGGATTCAGAGAGTCACAAAACATTCCTTGTAGGGCCCATGTGTGCCTGTGTCCAATTCACATGTCCCCAAATTTTCAGTCACACATGTGGTGTCATTGCACATGGAACCAGTAATTACACTGAACCCACAAATTCCAAAGTAGCAACTCAAGGTCAATAGAGAAAATAAGTTAAGATGAAAGGACTGTCACCAGTCCTGCTTTCCTAACCCCGACCTCACTCTTGTAGGCTAGAGTAGCTAACTAGGTGTATCCTACAGATAAACATCCTAACTACAAAGAAGATGCGACACTCGGGTTAAAATGAAACTGTGCTGTGACCATGATTGTACATCTATGCTGGCAACTGAGAGAACTGATATGTCTATTGACCTACCTAAAACGAGGTCATGAGTGTAAAACTCCTATAAAAGGTAAAATGTAACCCAGCCCTGGGTCGATCACATGGCACAGCCCTTGATTCAGGCCAACCCTTTGCTAGCAAAGTCAATGTTTTTGTTTTTGTTTTGTTTTTCGCATCTCTATGTGTCACTTACTACTTCCTTCTGCAACAAGACCAGCAGAGTTCCCAGTGAGGACGGGATAGCA